TAACTGATTATCTATACAGGTAGTAAAAAGCTAAAGGAATCTGTGTCTATGGTTCGTTGTTCAAAGGTTATAGACATATATATATCTATTTCTTTTGTCTGTTCTGTTTGTGTAAATTCAATGAGAATTAATGCATACAATTACAACAGCAGTAACAAAGAAATTTGATAGTACATCTACTAAAAATGCTCACTTCATTCCAGATAATCAGTTAGCACCAGTGCATAGTTCAACACTCAACCAATTAGAAACTGCTTTACAAAAACTCAAATCCACGATTAAAGATGATGTAATTCGAAATCCAGAACTTGCAAAAAATGCTCAACTTCTAAATGATAAATTGAATTTACTTATCGAATCAAACAGGTGTTCAAATGATTTTATTCCAGATGTTGGTTCTAATCATAATCATTTAGAAATCANGCACTAAACATTAATATTAACCAACGCGATATGCAGCACCTGAAGTGTTAGCAAATGAACAATATTCTGAAAAGTCAGATGTCTATTCAATGGGTGTGTTGATGTGGGAAGCGTACTCCAAAGGAAATATACCCTGGTCACAGGGTATTTCTGACGATGAAGTGAAACGACAAGTGACAAAGGGCGAGAAATTACAGAAACCGAAAAATTGTTCGCTCAAATATGGTCTGTGATTGAAAGCTGTTTTATATTATGTGTAGAAGACAGACCAACATTTACGGCTTTAAAACACAGTCTTCTTCCAGCTCCATATCAACTGACGACACCGATGGTGCGTAGGATTTTTTCTAAATAAGTCAATTTTTGCGTTCTAGGTAGTGTACATTTGGGTATTTTTGGCGGTACGTGGTGGGCGGTAGGAGTGTAGCCAGTGTGAGAGTGAGTTCGAAAAGTACTTTCACACAGAATATATTCTTTTGATGTTGTATGAATTTTCCTGAGGTTTACAAATGCTTATGTGATTTCTAACTATACTGTAATCTTGAATTAGTTTCCATTTTATAGAAAATTGATCGAACTTCTACAAATAATTTCTGTATTCGCCGTAATGTCGCGGTATTAGCCATTCTATTCCTCACCTCTTTTATATTTCTAACAGCAGATAGAAAATTATTCAGCTCACGCCAAATTTGAGTTGGCGTACTCAAGTGTATGCTTCATGCTAATTTTAGAACGTTTTCGTCTGTAATCTGCTTCAGAAGCCAGTCTCGACTACTAGCTTACAACACGAGGTGAGTGGAAGACTACTTTCGAAAGACGAACTCGGAGCACTAGAATTGAAGGTTGACTAACTAGGTTGAAAAACAAAGATGGGTAAACATCGTTTGATTGCAGGTCTTTGCTATTTAACTGTGTTTATTTTATTGAAAACCTCTAGAGTTATCAAACAACAGCAGCAATCGTCCGAAGTACAAATACCATGTGACTTTTGTGAGAAGCTATGTGATTTGCCGCATCTGCAGGCCCATCAGGTAAAAATAATTCACAATACTACTTACGACTGAAAACTGCTGTAAAGCATCCAATAACTACCTTGAGTAAAAGGACTTTTCTTTCGCACAGTTATCTAAGTGCCTCTAAGTCGAG